AAGGAGCAGAGGTGCTTTAACATCGGGGGGGCGGGGGGCTTTTTGCTATTGCAAAGGCTCTTCCAAACGAGCTTGCTTTGATGTGAGGAGTGGAAGAGTGTCTCTTAATGTTATTTGGTGCAACAAATCTTTAATAGTCTCCTAAGTATTTATTTACCTAAATTTATCGGCCGGGTATTTTTCCGTAACAAAATCATTGGAGGAACTGAGTGGGTATCTCCTTGGCTCGGATACACCCAGTTCAGACGCAGGGCAAGCGGGTGCTACACGGAGCCTGAACCTGCTTTTTAAATATACAGATGTACAGAGCCTGCCGGGATCCTCCTGACGGGTTTCTTCCCCTTGTTTTTCCAGGGTTACGGAGACCACAAGCCGAAATCCTCAACTGCGGCTCAGGAGGTGAAAACGTTGGATGGGATTTACACAGAACAGGTAAACTGGCAGTGAGGAAGCCTCGCGCCTCCCCCTTGCAGATTTGGGAGCTCAGATATACCCTCGGAAGGTTAATTCGCACAACACCCTGAGTTAGGCTAAAATGGGGCTGGGCTGTTGGGGGTTCCTGGATTGACCTATTATTTACTATCATTTATTCCTGGTCCAAGACCAAGTCACAATGCCTGACCACAGGCACATCATCTCCCCGGAGGTTAGATTGGCCCCAACCCGGTTTGCCTTCCGAAAGGCTCTAAAAACATGGTTGTGGCAACAGGCCTGGAGGTCCGGTTATGGTTTGCAGCCCGCTAGATGGCTGCGTGGATCGATCCGTGACTCACACTGCCGGCTTTTCATGTTTTCTGGTTTTTAATTGGGTTCTCAGTTTGGTTTTAAAGGCGGTTACTGTGTTTTTTTGCTGGTTTCTGTATTTTGTTTGTTGATTGTGTTATTTGGTTTTTAATGACGTGAGCCGCCCAGGGTCACAAATGCACACTGAATGAATGGATAAATAAATAAATGTCACAGAATTTAAAAATACAGGACACCCTTTACACATGTATAAGTGTGTTTGTGGGTGGATGGATGGATAGTTGATAGATTAATAAACTGATAGATGATAGATTGATAGATGATGGATTGATAGATTATAGATAAGATGATAGATTGATGGTAGGTAGGTAGACAGACAGACAGACAGACAGATAGATAGATAGATAGAAGGGAGAAACTTTATAAAGTTAACATTGCATAGAAGGGATCAAACGGTTCTTATAAGCTATGGCTATAAATAAAAACGTTATCTTCAAAACATCTGGGTATTGGTTCACTTAATAAGAATACCTCAATCTCCTCCTCATGAGTGGAGTTTATCAAACTAAAGACTGGGTGTATTGACTCTAATTTCCAATAATGGCCAGTTGAATAGGCCATGCAACACAGACTCAACCTCCACATTTGAGGAGATGTGTTATAATCCAGGCATTATCTTAGTTTACCGGGCAAACCTGATGGTCACGTTAAGCCCTAAAACGAACTGTTTATTCAGCATAGCTGGGCACGCAAACAGAACTGCCCTGTGCTGTCAACCAGGGCCTGCCTGTCTTCTGAACCCAACCGGAGCCTCGTCTCTTTACACAGGTAGCCATGGGCTACGCGCACTCTCTGGCGATTGCCCGCGACGAGAGCGAAGCCGAAAAGGAGAAGATCAAGAAATTACCAGAATACAACCCACGCACGCTCTGACACAGGGCGTGGGCCTTTCCCCGTGACGACTGCACTGGAACGCTGTTCGCGAAGAGATTGCAGACACCAACGTGCGTTTCGTTAGACTCCCTGAGATTTCAGTTTTTATACGCCATTTGAAGTTTTAACTACCTGTTGCTATGACTCTTCCTCGCCCCACTCCACCCCATCCTTCCCCCAAGACGGCTTGTTTCGTATTTTGTATTTCATTTTGTTTCCGATGGTGGTGGTGGAGGACGATAAATTGAGGAAATCCGTTCATCCCTTTTGGGTCACCAGTCAGATGAAAGCTGCAGGGGTGTTTGTCCGTTTTTGTTTTTATTTTTATTTTTTGTTTGTTTTCCCCGCTAAACCTGTTTGGGTTAAACAGTGGACCAGTAAACCAGCATTGAAAGACAGTTTTTCTACTGCAGAGTGGCCTATCCTTTGCGTTTTGTCCCCGAAGAAGGCGGTTATTCATTTCTTTTCTGCGCCTTCTGTAATTTCCTTTGATTAAAACGGGCACCAGAGTCCAGTAGTTCACGTTGATTTCAGATTGAGCTTTGTGTCACCTTGTAAATGTGGCAACAGACGTTAAATTGGCCTCGTGTTACTTTATGCATGGCGTTTCTTTCTCATAGCCTTGTGTGGTTAGGTGTCTAGGGGGGACGGGACTCGTAAGACATTTTCCTGGAAAGCGGCAGTTCTCCTTGGAGCTGAAATTAAGATGCTGGCCACACGAGGGGGCTTTTGGATCTGGTTTTAGAGGAAGTGAAATGAACTCATTTGGCACTGAAAATAGCAGGGAAGCCTGCAAGCTGGAGAGGAGTCTCTCTCCGTCTCATGTGGACGAAAGCTAAATTCTCACCCAGGTACTGAAGTTAAAAGAAAAGCCTCTCCCCTTTGCTTCCCAGATATTTTTCTATTGGTTGGTCTCCACTTTCCTTCCAGCCCTCCCCGGATTTTTCCAAAGGGGAGTTTCTTTAGATCAGCGAATGATGCTCTGAGACGGAAGATACAAGAGATTTGGGTTTGGGGAATGGCAGTTCTGCAAACGCCTTCTCTGAACCCCTGAGAGCTAGCGGCCCTCCGATCCCCTGAATGAGGAAGCTGTATAAAGTTCCCCCAAAGAAACAGGCGATATGTTTCCAGCCCAGGGGGAATTGCGTTAGCAGCCCCCTTCTTGTCCCACCATGGGGTGTTTGTGTTGGGGAATGTTGCACCTTGAAAGCGGCGCGCCGCTCTTTTCCGGCGTAAACCTTGTTGGTTTGTGGGGCAGGGCGATCAAACGCGTCCCCTTTTGCCCATCTTAGGCGGCCTCCCCTTTTAACCAGATCTACTCCCTTGAGTTAGAATGGCGAGAAATGAATGGAAATCCACCACGGTTAGATGAGCCTTGGGGGAAGCTGAAAAGCAGCATTTGTTGACTTCATGCTAAATTTGCAGGCTTAGGATACTAGGAGGCTGGGTTACCTAGGTAGAGAGCAATGCTGCAGTGGGAAGTGAGGGTGCTTACTCCATGGGTCTGGATCAAAATATTTTGGGCTTTCCCTGTATTCCCATTCAGCCACGTTCGACCCCCCACCCCTCTATGCTTTTGACAATATGTTCTTCTTTTTCATTTGCTAAGTCATTCTGATCCTACAGGAGAATCTAAGTTAACTAGAACATAGATGGGGATAACTTATTTGTGGTGGGAGGGAATGGACTAAGAGGTACTTCCATCTTCACCAAAGAACGGCTGTTTTTGTGCTAAGTAAAAGACTTTGCTTTTGACTTGGTTGGTGTAAAGGTTTCTGTTTGCGGACTCTCCTGCTGTTCCTTACCAAGGAGAAGGGCGCAGAGGGACGAGACAACTTAGCGTTAAATGAGATGAGAAAAGATTTTAGCCTAGTCTTGTCACACTCTTCCCCCCCTTTTTTTTTATATTTCTCAAAATAAATGTTTAAATAAATGATGCGTTTGTGTAGACTCTGGAGTCTTACCTCCTTCTTTCTGTACTGACCTAACAGCACAGATGATTCTGCATCTAATGTTTATCCTGTTGCATAAGAGAATATTTTTAGGAGACATCTGCATTATTTGCCACTGGATGTATTAGTAATTCCTTGGATGGATGAAAACAGGGTGTGCTTTCCAGAAACTAGGTATGTAAGACGCCTTTGGTTCAAAATGATGGGTTGAAAGTTACTTAAGATATGAAGCAGGAATAGATAATAAGACAGTGCTCTTGTTTAAAGCTGGCAAAATATTTCTGGAACCATTTAGAGTTTTAGGAAAAGGAGGATGGAGGAACATTTGATCCCACATTAGGATGCAAGATCTCCTGACTGTTAGAACGCAAGTTGCAAGCAGTACATAGACTTTCTCTTTTGCTCCCCCGTTGGTCATCTTTCCAGAATTTATAGGAAGAGGGGGTGAGTGGTCAGAGGAAACCAAGTCAAGAAAGTTGGAGATAGACGTTGGAGATGGTTGAAGTCAAAGGAGGTCACTGAAGAGGACACATCAGACGTCTTCTTGTACCATTGGGAGCAGAAGTCCAAAATCTCTTGGAGAGTCTCCATATTTTGTATGTTGATAATAATAACCCTTTGTTCTGTTTTTTTTAACTCTTCCTTGCTACTTCTTCGAACTATTCTTGGCCTCAAAATCACCTCTCATTCTGCCTTTATAAATTGATAAAAAACAGAACAGAATACTTAACTGTTCTTCACAATTTATTCAAACAGTTTGTAGATCAGTAGGAAAAATATCTGAAAGCTTTCTTTATAAAGAATTCAACACTACACATTCCATTTAAAAATAAATTGGCAAAAGAAATGTTGATTTTTCAACCATTGTACCATCATAAAGCCTCTTTGCAAATCCAGTGGTTGAAATGGGAAAGAGAGAGAAATTGACACAAGAAGAAAAGTGTGGATTAATCACTCCTCCCCAGTATTGCTATTTTGATCTGTAAACCTGCATCTTGGAAGGACTGCCAGTCTTTACAATGCATCTGGGACCAGCCTCTAAGAATCTTCTGTATGTCAAATAAAAAGGATACCCCATTAAACTGCTTTCTTCATCTCCATCATCCCAGGTTCCCAAGACCTTGGATCAACTGGTTTTTGGAAAATGTTCTAGATCTGTTGGATGACTACCTTGGGAATATGTTTTGGTGATTGCCTTCTTTCTCTGTGACAAGCCTACTTGGCTTGTCTAGGTTGTGGTGATTGAACCTGGACTGCCAATAGATGAGGATTAGTGATGTAAGGGAAAGAGCATTCTTTGAAGAACCATTCATACCTACTTAAGGTATGAAATGTCTTGCTGGACCTCTATAACTACTTTTAGAATTGGTGTGTATGAATAAGGAGAAGGATTAGACCAGCCTGCCTCAACTTGACTGCCCTCTTTTTGGGGGGGGAGGTTGAAACTAACAACATTCTGGCAGTCCTAATACATTTAGAGGGAACCAAGCTGAGAAAAGCCTACTTAGATACTGAAGATGGTTTGATTAACAAGAGAGGTTTGCAAGCACCTAAAGAGGAACCACCAGGATCCCTTGGAAAATTACTGGATGATCTGTGGAAGTGTGGGAAAAGACATGCGAGGTATAGATCATCATCTTCCTTGGATGGGAAAATAGAAGCCGTTATGAGGCCCTCAAGGACTCATGTTCCACCACTTGAAGGAAAAGGGCTTCCGACGGACGTTTGTGCCACAGTGAACATCCCCTCGGAGAAGGTGGTATGTACTGTAGTCATCAATGAAAATGCAGGACAATCCCAAGGGCTCCAGAAGATGGCGGACCTCCTTCTCCAAGCAGCATTGGCCATCGATGATAGGTCCAAAGGGCTTTGGGATGCCCAGGTATTTTCCCAGAACAACCATGTTTACCTGCAGAAAGGAGATAACCATTGGTCTAGTACATTAGATTATGATCACATTCATGATGTGGCTCAGTGAATTGCCAGGGAAAGAAGGCTGGTAGGTCTTAATAGTCCATTCCTCCAGTGGAGGAGGGACTTCTTTACAGGGGACAACTAATTAACACTTGATTTGTCATCAGTATCACAGCACCTTCAGTGGGATTGTAACTTCACATTAAAGCTGTTCAGAAGGATGCTGTACAAATTCATGAGAAACAAGACACAGTACTGGATTCACCCAATACATTGAGCCGAACAACCCTCTTAGAGCTTTGTGTGATGTGTGAATCCAGCCAATACATCAAAAGTGCATGCTACCTTTCCTGTCACCCCACCACCCATTCCTTGATAAGGGTTGGCAACTAGAAGCCATCTCCCTGCAAGATGCCCACTGCTCCTCCAAGTGTCAAGCTACAAGCAAAAGAAGTTGAAGCAAGCTGAACCTTTGACTGGTAGGACATGCATCTGAGCTGCTGGGCCATTTTTCTGCTGGTTCTTTTCAAAGCAAATTCCTGGCTGGAGTCTTACCATGTCTGGGAAATAAGCGACAGCTGAAGACTTTTGGGAATCAGGAGAAAAAAGCTGAGGAATATCAATAATATCTTTCTCGGTTAGGTCCAGCTCCCTTTTGAGGATGTTTCTGTTCCAATCAATACACTTCTGGAGAGGGAAGAAAAAGATGCTTTAGTGAGAAGCAAGGTGATGCCATACATGTTACTTCAGTGCCCACAAAATGAGTGCCAGTGAAGCCATTATCCTTCAATAATCCTTGGAATTTGATCAGAAAGGTAGGTCCAGACTCCCTCTTGATGTATAACCCTTTAATGTTTTACTTAGTAGGTAAGGTCATCTGGAGTTCACTTTCCTGGGGGTGTATTTTCCTAACTTGGCATCTTCCAGATGTGTTTGTGATATCCCCAACTCAGCTGTAGGGTGCCAGGTTGGGGTAACCTAGTAGAGAAGCCAAGTTCATAGACCACACACATCCTTTTTCCTCCTTTACATCTCCGGTATTCACAGCCTTTCCATCTCTTGCTGGGGCAGGCTCAAAATCTTTCTTAGATGATTCTTTGAACCATTTTTCTCTACCTAGGTCCTCCCATAAGAGTTCAAAAACACATGAAATGTGTACTGTAATTTGGTAAAACATTAGTGCTCCTCTACGGCAACCGTGCTATTTGAAGACATGGGAGACCTTCACTCCCTTCTACTCTGCATTGGCGAAACCACCCTTGAAGATTGTGTACCATTCTTGGCACTACATTTCCATGTGGAAATTGCTGGTTGTCCCAGGTTCAGAGGAGATACAGGGACTTGAGGACATGCCTCTCGGGACAGGCTGAAGGAACTTGGTATGTTCAGCCTGGAGAGAAGATGGAGGAGAGCAGACATTGAACATCAGTCTTCAGGTACATAAAGGAGAGCTGCAGAGAAGATCCTCCAAAATAATTATACCATGGCCAGAGCACAAAAACTGGGACCAGAAATAAGCACCAGATGCAGCTTCCTAGATTGTGTTTAAACATAAAGGAATTTTTCCTGATGGAAGATCTGTGGAACAGTGCCTATCAAGGCTTTGGGTTCTCCATCTTGGTAGTCTCTTAAGAAGAAGGTTGGCCACCTTCTCATGAATGGTTGGATTGTTTATCCTGCACAGGTTGGACTAGACAATCCTTGTGGTCTCTTCACACATCACATTTTCTGTGACTGTCCCTTGTTAGCCTCTGAACAGAACAATGAAAACCTTTTGTTCCTCTCAGTTGGTTTACTCAATGCCCAGATTTAATAGCAGAACGGATGCGATATTGCTTACTTGGCAATACTCATTCCAGTTCCTCAAGGATCTGTCCGCAATAATTTCTGTTATTGAATGGGCCTTGCCTTCCGGGAATTCAATTCCTGTTAGAAAAGAAAAGAAAAATGGCTTGATTTCTGGTGTGTGTGCATATTTCAATCACTGGTTGGAAGTCCGGTGCTTGGCAAGAAAGATTATTATAACTATTACATCACAGAAAACTATTTATTATAGTAGTTTAGAGCCCTCACTTGCTCCCAGTGGGGAGAGAGGCCAAGTCTGAAAGGGAGAAACACAACCCCTTGAGGCAATCCACCCCAACGGGCTGTTGACCTCCTCTTCAGAAGACGAAGCATTCGTTCCAAAATAAGGATGGTGCCCTTTATCAAAGAGGGGAACCCCAAAGAGCAAAACTCAGCTCCCAATTATCTTTTGTTTCAGCTCTGAGGTCCTGCACAGGAGAAAGCAAGATCACCTTCAAACATTTTGGCCGCTCCGTGGCCTTGCTCTTCCTTCTCTTTCAGCAGCTTGAAGCAGGCGCTGGGGCTGGCCAGCAGCAGGCGGAAACCCTGAAACGAGGGAGTAAGAAGGGGTGTAAGCGAGAGAGGTGGAAAGAGATGCAGGACAGAGGGAGAACTAACAGCCTAAAAGCAAGAACTTAGCAACCTAGAAGAAGCTTCACGCAGGGCATGGGAGCAAAAGCTGCTGACCGAACGCTTTGGCCACAAAAATGTGTTTTCTCGCCTATCGTGCATAGGCTGAACAGAAGGATGCTGAGTTATCATTTCAGCATTTTCTCATGCCCGAATATTTAGGGACGAGGCATCGCTCTGGGGTAGACCCCTGCTCTTCAACCAGGTTCAGTCCTTGGTCTCTCCAGGTAGAGCTGTAGAAATCCCAGAGATTAATGGCTGTAAGACCCAGCTTGAAAAGAGTCATCTGCTTACACCTTAGGACTCATCCTTCTGGATGTCCCTGCTTTAAGTGGCTACCACCCCAGTAGCAAAACAGGGTCTCCATTGAGTTAGAAGTTCAGTGAAGCTCCCTGAAAGAGCACAAAGAGTTGCTTCTTGACATCCTGCAATGTAGAGAAGGACCGCTTTCTAGACCTAATCTGCCCAGGCGGTGGCTAAATCTGAAATATAAATAAATAATCCGCCTCCTGTTGTAGGGCTCTCAAGAATGGCATGCTGAAATACTTCGTTAGCCCTGTGCTTTCACAATTCCTCTGAGAAGAGAAGAGGGAGCAGGGTTTCCCAGAAAGCCTGTTGGTGGTGAATAAATACAACCGTATTTCATAATAGGGTCTGGTGGAACACTTTACAGAGGAATTAGAAGATGCCCAACTGGGTGGAAATGCAACATTTCAAAAATTCTGCCTGCAGCTGCTGATTGGTCTCCATCAATTGTTTGCTAATTATGCTGCCAGCCTTGTGGATTGGCCACTTACAGGCCTTTCAAGTTTCAAAGAGGGGGTGCAAGACATACCTTTTGGTCTGGGGCAGGTACGAAGCTCAAGAATTCATCTACGTGTCCCACAAGGAGCCAGTCCGAGTGTAGTTCAATGGGAGATTGTACTACTTGGGCATGCAGGAAGTCCTGGACAATCTTGGACATATTTCTATTAAAGTTTCTAAAAAGCAAAGAAGAGGTGGAATCTGAATTCTCATATCACATTAAGCCATGGTTTGTTAATACACCTTAGTTGACTGATTCACACAACCCTAAGCCATACAGTATGGATTACAAGCCACAGTGGTCATGGTCATATATTGAGTTGACCCAAAACCGAGCAAATCAGATGATTTTTAGCATGTGGTGAGTCAGGGCAGTCTTTGATTAGGGTTTGCTCCAACCAAGAGATTGTTTGCCTGTGTGAAAAGGACAATAAAAGTCTTTTATTCAATCCGTCTTCATCCACAATTTGCAATCTCAAGTCTGATGTTTTGAATCACCATATCTTGGTTCAAATCTTCACTGGTCTGTCTCTGTGTTTGTTCTGTTCCTGGGGAAAAGAGCCTTGCTGTGGGAACTGTTGAATTCCCCATGTGAATGTTGAAGAACGTTACCTACTTGGAACAACCCACAATTCTGTGTTGATACTAGGACAAACTTTTCCAAAACTTCCATAGGGGAAGAGTAACCAAAAGGACTATTCTCAACTTAAACCACAGACATACGGGAATGTTTTCCATCAAGAAACTAATGCTTCTCCCATCATCACTTACCCAGGAAAATAAGTCCCTATTAGTATACGCCCGAGGGGGTATTCTTTCCCCCTGACTTTCACCGGAGGGCTAACTTCAAGGTTCCCAAATGAGTCCAGGCTGGAAGGAGAGATTTCGGGTGGTAGGTCCCGTTGTACATACCCAAAATCTGGACCCTTGGGGAAGAACAAACAGTTGCCTTGGATCAAAACACAGAGCATGCAATCATCTTTCTATTCATACTGTATTTGAGAGGATGAATTGGGGAAGCCACCAAATCAAAATTTCATACAGACAGTGGTGGGAGGGAATATGAGGTCCCCAAAACGGTTGCACTCACACAGCCAAATTCGGTGATCGGGTTAATTGTTGCATATGAATACAACAAGGCGTGTGTTGACTGGAAAGTCAGTTGCCTTTTATAAAAACTCTTGCTGGCTGGTTAATGAGATAAATGGTCATACAACTTGGTCTAGTCTTTCTGACCTACAAAACTAGTCTTTAATAAAGGGAACAGCAGTGAGAAAACCATGAACTTCATTTTTGCAAGCAGAACTCCTCATCGGTGAGGAGAAAATGCAGAACAGTGACTTTTCAACAGCCAAGATCAGACAAAGTATAGGGAGAAAAGCACATACCAAAACTTTCTTAAATGGGAAATCCTTCAGCCCTCTGTTCCTTGGGGAGTCAAAGACAACTGGAAATGTTTTGTGAGGAGCCTGTGTGTAACCAAACTCCATCTCATCCTAAATTGGTGGAAGAGTTGAAATAAAATAAAAAGGTGTCATCTTTAGGGTGGGCAATTGGTTATATGAGTTTATGTTTGGATTTCAGTCTGTAAACTCAAGGGAAAGCAACTCAGTTTTGTCTACTAAAATTACCTTTGAGACATTTTAAGAGGTTTAAGCGTGATTGCTATTGCAACAAGGAGCGAAAGTATCAGGAACCCTGAACATGCGTAAGACTTTTTATGGGTTTCAATTGAGCCTTTGATGTTATTACACCAATAAACATGCTACAATGAAGAAGTCCCACTTAACATTGGGAAAAATGCCTCCAATTATTTCTGGAGATGTACTGGGTCAGAACTACCCCAATTTCTTCCCCAGTAGCATCAGGATCTTGTTTGGCAAACCATCTACTACTACTATTACTTCTCTCCTACCTGGATCCATCGGTCCATGCGATTTTCCTCCGGTGGGCAGATGATAAATTTGCATCTGGCTTTTGAAGCAAGCTTCCTCACCTCTGCCACAAAATCGTCATTCCCATCGACACTGGATATTCAGAGGAATAGGTGGGGATGTTAGAGAACAAAGAAATGGAGAAGAGGGAAGGATTCAGATGTTCACCCAACTTGGTGGTGGGTGTACAAAAAGGTTCATACACATGTGTTGATCCATGACTCCTTACCTGCAGACGTAAACAGAAATTGGCTGCAAGGTGTTTGGGGTCATAACCCATGGAGCAACCCGGAAGACCAAGGTGTCAGTGAAAATGGGAGCTTGCGGGATCTCCTGAAGCATGAAAATACGGGAGAGAAGGATGAAGAGACCTGTTTGATTCCACAAAGATGCATTTAGACATTTAAAAGTTCTAAGGTAAACATCTGAGAAGACGTAGGAGGACAGAGCTAACCTTGAAGAAAGAATACAAGGACAGTTAGGTAAACATCCTCTTCATCTTGGAAAGGAAGAGGGGTGAGAAAGAAACACAAGATAACCCCGCCTTGATTCTCTTTACTATAAGGGCAAAAGGAAATTGGGTCGGACTTTCAAGATTATGTCACCATGCCCTACAACAATAGAGTCCCAGTAGCTCTTGTGGGATCTGTTTCCTGACGTGGCTTTCCTTGAATGGCTGACAAGTAAAGAAGGTCCAAGAGAAGGGACCCGTGATGAAGGTTGAAAAAGCAATCCAGGTGAAATGCTCTCTGAGAGCAAAGAAGTGGTGGGACAAAGATGATCTCTAGCCCCTTGTACAAATTCCATTGCTTCTCTGGTGTTCCCTCTTCCTCCTTCACACGTTCTCCTTTGGGTTCTCCATACCTTATTGGTGGACTCCAGGAGTGAAGCGTGGAAAGCAAGAAGTCCTGAGAAGTCGATGTCTGGAAATTTCAGCCCTTCCACATAGAAAACACTCTCCACTTGATCAAGGTCTCGTTCCACCTTGTAGGAGAGCTTTCCAGATCCTAGAACGTGTTTGTAATGCTTCTTCTCCATTTCCCCTGTGAATCAAAACCCAACCTGTTTTACTGGTTTATTTCTTGGAAGAAAAAATATACCTTTATCCAGATCTGGCAGTTTTAGACAATCTGCATGATTAAACCCAAGCACATTAACACTTTGAAATCTGCAGAAACTTCTGGTTGGCTATCATTGGTGACAGAATGCTGGTCAAGCTTTTGATCTGCTCTAGCAAAATTATTGACATGCTCTTTGATACAGGAAAAGAAAGACCGATGTCAGCCTGATCCCCTGAAAATGCCTTTTCTCCAGGCGCAGAGCAGAAAAGAGAAATCTGGGCACCATGGTTACTTAGAGAATCTGGAGTAAGAATTCTCCTTCTGTGCTTTGCTTCACCCTTTAAGCTTCGGTCCTGAAGCCCAACATCCCACCGGCCTTCAACGCTTACCCTGAGAGTAGAAGACCCCCACTTTGTCATCTTCAACCTCCGAGATGTGCAGAATCAGCTGGTGGTTTTGAAAAACTTCATTAGGTCCATGGGCTGTCAGGATCATACAAGACATGTCCTTGCGGTCTGGAAGGGAGAACTAATTCAGTTCCAAGCATCTCCACTCAAGCCAGAAACTCAGACTCGTCCCAGCCGTGCGATGGGTGGACTCACACCTTTCGCTAACCATAAACGCGGCTTCCGTTTGGCGGATGACCTCAGCCCGTCACAACTCATTCAACAAACCATGTTCAGATATTGGCTTAGGAACAGGGGCCAACAGATTAGGGGCCTGGCAATTTCTAGGTCCTACAAGGGGTCTTTCACGTCCTGTGCCAGGTAGGCCAGGTGTAGAAACAGGCACTGTAGACCTCCTGCTTTAGCGTTGTAGAATCTGGAAAGCCTGCCAGAGTTCCCGTCTGCCCCCTCTTGTTTCACGCAGAATCAAGACAGGGTTATTTTGAGTTTCTGTCTCATGCTTGCCTCCACATCTGGACTATGTTCAACAGTTCTTCCACACCTTCCCCAAAGTTAGCCCTAAATTCCTTTACACCCATCCTTTGGCTTGTAAATCTACTCCCGAGGGGACATCTTTAATTTCAGCACCATACACTTTCATGACAAGGCTGCTTTTATAGGGGTGTGCCCCTGGAGACCCTAACCATGGGTGTTGTCGCCTACCCAGGTCGGATTTCAGCTCGGTGTCCTTGTTGTCTTCTTTTTCGGCTCCGGGGGTGTCTCTGTCGCAGTTCACCAAGAGGACGGCCCCTCTTCCGTCTGGCCCCCACGTCCACTGGCTCTGCAAAGACAGGAGTCCATGTCAGGTCAGGCTGCGGGAAATGTGGGGTCTCTGCTCGGCTCTGCCTCCCCCAGCCCCAGGGGAATCAGGGCTGCTTCCTCCTTTCTGTTGGAGGGTATGAAAAAATAGTTCCCTTCTGTCCAGAGGGGGTCAGAAGACCAATCTAGGCTCTCAAGAGCCCTTGTGAAAATCAGCCTCTGCTACCCAACTGAAACAGCTGGAAGTTAGCTAGGTGACTTCGCTGCAGCACCTTCCCCAACCAGGTGCCCCCCAGCAGCAGGAGAAACAGGCAATTAAACCATCAGTGCCCAAACCTCCCCGTTCACACTACTTTCCCAATCTTTCCATTCCCATCATTCTGCTCAAATTATAGATATTATTTTAACCTTTTGCTTCCCTCGCCTCGTCACCATCCCCGAACGGTTTATATCAGCATCCAAGGAGATTTCTGCAGCACAAGAGCAAAGGGGAGGGGGGAGAATAAATTAATAAAACAACAAATAGTTTTCATTATTCCCATTCGGAGACTCTGTTTGCATCCCAGTCTCTGATCCTCCTGCAAGAAAAGGGTACTTGAGTCTTTCTGGCCTCTTTTCCCCTGCTTGATTCCAGTTTGACCGGGGGCAGGATTTGCCTATCCAGATGTGTTGTGTTACAGCTGCTATAATTCACCGTTTGAGCCATGCCATAGAAGACTCTCTACCCCCAAACCGACTTACCTACGCAGGTAATATGCAGAATCGCTTTGGCGACTGGGATCTTGCTGTTTTCCTTGTAGTATGAAATTCTGATCTGCAATACACCAACACAATGGTAAATTTGAAGCAAAAGATACTGGTGCTTGCATCCGCTTGAAACATTCCTCCCTAATACACATCCATTTTCGACTGGATAATGCATCGGGGTGCCTATGCACAAAGGAACACTTGATCGGCAATTTCACCTTTACTTGGTGGATAAATGTTCCCCTGCATTTTTATCTCGCTGTGCTTTCAAAACAATTCTTCTCTACTCCCATTCTAGCTTCACCACAAACCTGTGAAGAAGCTGAGCTTGAGAACCAACCGGATGAATTCACCTTCTGCCTCCAGAACTGGTTCCACTTACCACGTTAAGCCATTTGATTTCCGCCTAGTGCGACATCTGAACTTCATAAACCAGGGGGTGTGGCTTCTTATTACGGTTTTGTTCAAGAAACCATGGTGAAAGCATGCTGGGTATAAACCTGGCCTACAAACCCCTGGGTCAGTTGGAGGAGAGGTCATCTTGGCTAATTTCTCACCTTTTCTTCGTCAGCTTCGATGCTTGGAGCATCCATGGTGACAGTGACCTTGACTGTCTTGTCCAGTTCCCATCTTGGGGCATAGAAGGATAGATTCGATTCTTCTGTGTTGCGATCAACGCTGAAGTTAAGGCCAAGTGTTGCCCAGATGTCGAAGGTGGTTGCAGCACTTGGGGCTGCCCTGGAAGAGAGAAGATGTTCATTACAAAACTCTTGTTCCCATTTCTTTCTTTGCTGCATTTGAATCCTCCAAACAAATCAAGGCACGGTATGCAATTTCCTTCTCCCTCCCCTTGGTGCCTTCTGCTCCAGAAATAGGTCTCTTGGGTTGATTGTCGAAGCTCGGTATAAATATAAGTGAGACCTGGCTCCGATCTAACTTCCAAGGTGTTTTTTTGACATTTACAGTCTGGAGCAGTGTTTCTCAACCTTGGCAACTTTCAGATGGGCGGACTTCAACTCCCAGAATTCTCTAGCCTGCCTTGCTGGCTGGGGGATTTTTGGAGTTGAAGTCCACCCATCTTAAAATTGCCAAGGTTGAGAAACACTGCTCCAGACTGTAAATGTCAAAAAAACACCTTGGAAGTTAGATCGGAGCCAGGTCTCACTTATATTTATACCGAGCTTCGACAATCAACCCAAGAGACCTATTTCTGGAGCAGAAGG